GAATTTTGGGGATTTTTTTTGGAATTTTTAGCATTTTTTTACGATTTTTTCTCAGTTTTTTCTGTGAATTTTTGGTGATTTTGGGGGTATTTGGGGTTCGTGGCCATGAACCGCAGCATCAACGACAGGGGAGACCTCCCTGAAGAGCTCCTCAGGGTAATTCCCAAAATTTGGGGAAAATCTGGGAATTTTTGGGAAAATTTGGGAATTTTCAGAATTTTTTTGGGAATTTTTAGCATTTTTTAAGGATTTTTTAAGGATTTTTTGGGGATTTTTCTGTAAATTTTTGGTGGTTTTGGGGTTCGTGGCCATGAACCGCGGCATCAACGACGGGGGGGACCTTCCTGAAGAACTGCTACGGGTAATTCCCAAAATTTGGGGATTTTTGGGAAGTTTTGGGAAATTTTGGGAATTTTTTTAGGAATTTTTAGGGGTTTTTTGGGGGTAAAAAGGTGAAAATTGGAGGTTCGTGGCCATGAACCGCGGCATCAACGACGGGGGTGGATCTGCCCGAGGAGCTCCTCTGGGTAAATTGGGGCAAATTTGGGAAAATTTGGGAATTTTGGGGATTTTTTTGAGAATTTTTTGGGGATTTTTTGGTGAATTTTTGGTGATTTTTTGGTGGTTTTGGGGTTCGTGGCCATGAACCGCGGCATCAACGACGGGGGGGACCTCCCTGAAGAGCTGCTATGGGTAATTTTGGGAAAATTTGGGAATTTTTGGGAAAATTTGGGAATTTCTGGGATTTTTCTGGGATTTTTTGGGAGTTTCAGGGCAAAATTTGGGGATAAAAAGGTGGATTTTTGGTGATTTTGGGCCATGAACCGCAGCATCAACAACAGGGTGGACCTGCCCGAGGAACTGCTCAGGGTAATTCCCAAAATTTGGGAATTTTTTTGGAAAATCCCCAAAATTCCCCAAAAATTCTAAAAAAATCCCAAAATTTCCCCAAAACTCCTCAAAAATCCTTCAAATTTCCCCCAAAATTCCCCAAAATTCCCAAAAATTCCCAAAAAATCCTCAAAAAGTCCCGAAAATCTCCAGAAAAATCCCAAATTTTCCCCAAAACTCATCAAAAATTCTTCAAATTTTCCCAAAAATCCCAAAATTTCCCAAATTTTTCCCGAATTTTCCAGAATCTGTACGAGAGCATCCGCTCGGAGCCGTTCAAGATCCCCGAGGACGACGGCAACGACCTCACGCACACCTTCTTCAACCCCGACCGCGAGGGGTGGCTGCTCAAGCTGGGTAAGCCACGCCCACCTCACCTGGGCCACGCCCACATCACCTGGCCACACCTGGGAGGGGCCACGCCCAAAAAATCCCCGCGAAAATCCACCAAAATTCCCATTTTTGGGGCCTTTGTTTGGTCATTTTGGCTGCTCAAGGTGGATAAGCCACGCCCACCTCACCTGGGCCACGCCCACCTCACCTGGGCACACCTGGGCGGGGCCACACCCAAAAAATCCCCACGAAAATCCATCAAAATTCACATTTTTGGGGCTTTTTTTGGGTCATTTTGGCTGTTCAAGGTGGGTAAGCCACGCCCACCGCCCCCAAGCCACGCCCACCTCCCCTAGACCATGCCCACCTCACCCGGGCACACCTGGGCGGGGCCACACCCAAAAAATCCCCGCGAAAATCGGTCAAAATTCCCATTTTTGGGGCTTTTTTGGGTCATTTTTGCTGCTCAAGCTGGT